TTCTTCTGCTCCATCAACCCTGAGATTTGTTCATTTCTTTAGAAGTAGGCATTGATACATTTACCCTTCAGTCTTCCTACAAACCGTTCATTCATACAATCATCTTTGAACACATCCTTTTATGCTAATATTACTATCTTCCCCTAATTCTTCATTAGAAGCAGAATAAAGTTTGGGATTATCTATCCTCCATCCTCAGTTCATGACCACACTTTGTATATTGTACACGTTTAGTAGACAATTGGTCAATGAGTGAACCAATGAAACTATAGGATAAATATCAATGCTGTGAGATAAACAACCTTTTTATGGTAAATAACGCTTTTTTCTTCATGTCTGGGTGACATATGATTCCACTGGGTCACTCCGATTAGAATCATGCCCTAAAAACCACAGCTTTTGAAGCTTCTTATGATCATTACAGTTTTCTACAGGGAACTATGAATCACGTTGAGGTCACAGTGTAGTGGTACCTTAGAGCCACTATAGGGATGCAACATGTACAAACAGAGGATTTTCTGCCAGGTTTCCGTCTAGAATCTGGGTTCATGCTGTAACACAGAGGGTGCTGAGAAATAATTCAAAACAAGTGCCAGAGATCTCCTATCACTCGTCAAAGTCAGCTGTTCACAATGTAGCTTGAAGCTCTTTTTTTGGGGAAGACACAGTGGAGCTGGGAAGAATCCTGTCCATCCCACGTAGAAGTCATTTTGTCCTATAGTTTTGGAGTTCAAGTCCAATCACTGATATCCAAATTCTCATAGAAAGTTGTAGATAAGATGGAAAAGTTAGCACGTGGAGAGATGAATGGATATGGTGAACACCTGGAAAGGGCAAGGGTAGACAGGAAGAGAATGCTTGCCTGGAAGAATTGATATTTGATAATTTATTATATACTGGAAACAGAGGAGGCATCAAAACAACTACATTGAACAGTTTCCAGACTGGGATCCTGGGACAAGGTGATGAATGCCCAGGGAGAGGTAAAATTACCTTAAGAGCACTATGCGCCTGGACACAAATGAGAAGTGATTGTGTGTTCCCCAAACCAAGAGATTTATTCTGATTTTATAGCTTATTTCACTGGAGGGGGTGTCTCCATATGTTGCCTTTGTCTCATAGGACCATAAATTTTTCCTCTTGCAATATAACATTCTACCCAAAGAGCTCAAGACTATTTGAATTAGTGGTAGACATACCTATTGGTGTCTAGGAGTGTAACCCAAAAAAACAGGTGTCTATGTAAACTAGAGGTTTGGCCTTTCAACTTTTCCGGTTATCAGGTGGTGGCCATGCAGAGGCGAGTATGAAAATGAGGATATTTGGGTCTGAGTGTGAACAGCAGGCAGAGTGAAGCGCGGTCCCATCACAAGGGGTGATGCACAGTTCTTGCCTAGATAGAAGTACACAGTGCGAACACAGCTCTTGAAGAGAACAGAAGAAGGTAGGGTTAGAGTTTTGAACATGGAGAGATGTAGCAAGCTTGAGAAGAGTGTGAGAGGCAAGCTTTTGTCATCCCCGTCATCTTCCCTGCCAGCAACCTACAGCGTCTGGCAGAGCTTCAACTGTGTCTCCGGAGTGTCGTCAAGTAGGGGCATGAGTGGGAAAGTTATGAAGTCATATAGGCATTTGCATTCATCAGAATTCATGCCGGTGCCACGGGGAATAAATTCACCCTTGCCAGCCTCCTAAGAGGATGGCTTACGGGCATATTAATATTAAGTCTAAGTCGGAGGCTGGAACAGTGCCAAAAGGAAAATTATCTGTAATAAGAACCATTTGTCAAGTAAGATACCCCAGAAATAGAGAAAAGCAAATAAACCCATGACCAATGGGCTACTCTTATTGGAGGATCCAGGAAGTAGAATCTTGGCCTTATGAAGAACAGGGATACTTAGTGCACCCCTCAACAGGAGCTTCTCATCAACTTGCCTTCCTGTGACCCCATTAGTGTGTTCAAATTTGCTTTTAAAGGGGAGTGAAAATATTGTCATCCTGTGCAGCATGTGTGCGTGCGTGCGTGCATGCGTGTGTGTGTGTTTGTGTGTGTGTGTGTGTATTAGAGGTCTACACTCTCTTCAATTGCTCAATATTTAATTTTGTGGGGGCAGTCTGTCACTAAGCCCAGGCTCACCAATTCAGTTATACTGGGTGGAGAGTAAGCTCCAGGCATCCACTTACTCCCATGTCCCCAGCACTAGGAAGGATTACAGGCATATACCATCACACCCAGCAGTTTTACATAGCTGGTGGGAATCGAACTCAGGTCCTTCTGCCTGAATGTGGAGCCCTTTGCTGACTGCGAACCGTATCTGCGGCCTTCCAGTCCTTTTTCTGTATCCAGTGATATAGAGAAATCAAGAGAAACAGATGACATTAGCTTCTGTTCTTAGGGAGAATAAGCCTACAACCCAGACAGATGGTGGAATGTTAATTCATATTTGATATGCAAATGTAGGTCACTGGGGAAAGACTTGAGATCAGGAATGAGGGGGCCCTGTACAGAGAAATATGGCTGAGTGGAGCTTTCCATACAGAGGCAAGATATAAGAAAGGACCCAGAGAGACAAAAACATTTTTTCCTATCTGGGAAGGGGGTGTCTGAAGAGGAGGGATTCTCAGGAAGGAAGGGAGTAAAGCACACAGGGGGTTGTATTTGAATTGCCCTAGGTTCAAATCCAGTTGACCCAATGTTACTGTTTCGATGTGTACTGTCAACTGCTTGAACACTTGGTTACCAGCTGGTGGTGATGTCTTGGGTCTTTGCGGAACCTCTGGGACCTGGGTGGACAAATTAGGTATATGGTGAGAGAACTTTACAGACAGTATTGGCCTGTGTTCATACCCAGACTCTCTCTTTCCTGAACCTCAGAGATGTGAGCAAACAGCTTCAAGTTCCTGCTGCCACCGTCTGGGTCTGTCATTAACTCTTGTGTGTCTTCCCCACCATTGCGCTATGAGCAAAATAATAATAATAATGATAATAAATAATTGTCCAGCTTTGGTTGCTTTGTAAGGCATCACAGCAAGAGTTTAAAAAAGAAATACAGCCAGGCCCCTCGCCACAGCGTTGGTGTGGGAGCACCTTATTGAACCTCTGAGCCCCAGTTCCCTCCGGGTGTGTCTGTTCCCTTCGTACCTGAGCATAACCCCTGGTGTTTGTGCAGTGTGCCCTGTAGCCAGTCAGCATTGTGAGAAAACTGAGGAGGCACCAGCAGAACTAGGGAGTCGTTGGAGCTCCGCTTTATGGAAGTTCTGCTGACCACCTAGGTGTTTTGGAGGAGGACTGTAGGTCGATTCTACTTTCCTCTGGAGGCCCCTTCACTGAGCCTGTCTGGAGCTATTATGAGCTGACTCACCCCTCACCTCATGAGCCTCTGAGACTGACTTTTCAAGGACAAAAAGTAACCCTTCTCTTTCAAAGTTTATTTCCCTCAATAGATCAGGCCAGATCACTGCCTGGGGTGCACATGCAGTATGTTGTCAGCTCTTAGACATTTTCCTGCATTGCCTGCCTGCCCTCATCTCTGATAGGTAACCTTGGGCCTTCAAGTGAGCCCAGAAGCTCTGTAGTGACATTTCCCTTAGTGGTTTATCTAAACCCATGCTGTGGGATAATCAGAGGATATGGCTTAACTGGGGCAGCAGTGGAAATGTGCTTGCTACAAAGCTGGGAACTCTCAGGCTCTGGTACTCTGTGACCTTACACCAGCAAAAGGGAGACTCACAGATGAGGAGATGCGTCTAGAGCAGAGGCCGCTACTGCACAGCTCTGTTACCAGAGACCCTAAGCATGTGTAAGAACCACGTGCCTATTTCCCGGCTCACCCCAGAGTCACAGCATCATGGCGGGCTGCCTTACATGGACAGGAACCTGGCTGAGCCATACAGCCGTAAGGTGAGGAAGGTTGTAAGAACGGGCGTGGTCCTTCTGCCTCCAGACTCACAGGAGTCAGCACGATGCAGCATTTGCAGTGGGTGATGAGAATACAATGAATGCTCAAGTCAAGACTATGACTGTTGTCACCAGTATTTTCCTGGACAGTAGGAACAGCCATCAACCCACACTGTACCTCTGCAGAAGTGGTACGTATAGAAGGCACAAGATGCTGATTCCTGCTTATTAATATGAATGGAGGATCTAGTTTTCATTATCACTTGATAATTTCATACACACATACACTGTATTTAAATCATATCCACCCTCAGCTCTTCCTGGACCCCAACACGTATCCCCCTTCCCACTTTATGCCCTCTGTTTAAAATTTTTATAACCTACCAGTATGTACATGGGAGTAGGAGTATCCATTGGAGCATGGCCAATCTCAGAGGCTACATTCCTGAAGAACGCTGACTCTATTTTTCCCAGAAGTCACCAGCTTCAAATAGCTTCTCAGTGAGGGTTAGGACCTCATGAGCCTCTCCCATATCCATGCTGGAATGTTGCCTGGCTTGATCTGCATGCAACCATGGTTGCTACGCATTTGCTATGCATTCAGGCATGCAGTGGTTAGCCCTGACCTCTAGTGTTTCCATTTTTTTCTAATTCTTCTTCTGTGGTGTTCCCTGAGCCTTGTTGAGAATGATTATAATATAGACAGCCTACTTAGGCCTGTGCATTCTGTAGACACTTATTCTCTGTAGCTTGACCAGTTGTGAGTCTTTGTGTTAAGCACAACTCACTGTGAAAAGGAGTTTCTCTGATAAGGATTGAGAGCTATTGTTGTTAAGATATCTTAGTTAATTTTCTATTGCTGGTGAAAAAGAGCACCATGCCAAGGCAACTTACAAAGCAAAGTATTTAATTGGGCTTACAGTGCCAGAGGGATAGAATCTTTGGTGTCTGAGCAAAGGCATGGCGGCAGGACAGCTGAGAATTCACAAGCAAGTAGGAGGCAGAGACAGGGACCGCTGGGACAAAGCCTTTTGAAACCTCAAAGCCTGCTCCCAGTGACATACCTCCTCCAACGAAGTTATACCTCTTAATTCTTCCCAAACAGTTGGACCAAATGGGAACCAAGAATTCAAGCATTTGAGCCTATGGGGATCATTCTCACTAACCACCATAAAAGGTAAGTATCTGGACAGTAGTTTGAAATTGCCCACTTGGTAAAATAATAGCATTAAGTTCTTCCCTAAGGCCTATGACCTCTTCAGTCATGGGTCCTTGGTTGGTTTTTAGTATCATGAGTAAGTGTTTCCCCATGGAACAGATCTTAAATCCATTTAGAAAGCCTTTGGCTACCCTCTTAATATTTAAGCCACTATTGCTTCAATGAGCATTACCTCGCCAGGCTAGTTCTGATCCCTATTTTATAGCTCTCAGGGTTCACAGCCAGATAAATCTGTGGATGGCTTTTCTCCCCAGCACCCCACATAGCATCTTCCTGGTCTATGGGAGCTAGGCAGGATAGAGGAAGTTTCTAGGTCAGTACCAACTTGATTTCTCCATGTCCTGTGACCAAAGTGTGAAGTGTATTCATCAGTAGGGTTTTACCATCAAGTTTTTGGGGTGCAACCAAGAACAATGGTAATAGCTACTATTATGTGGGGAGTCTTGGGGACCACTCCTCATACTAACAACACAAAGGAGGCATCACACACTAGGCACTGGGCTTTGTGTTTGAGTACTTGTGGCTCCTAGGAGTAACATTACCTCTTGCATAAAGTTGAGTGACTTCAAAAAAGTTCTTCAAATGAAATTTGTCTGGAAGATCATTCAAAGTTACCTTGGCTTCAAATTTTAATGTTGGGTTTATTGAGTTCAGTCTCAAAAAGTTTTAAATTACAGAGATTATTTGTTTCTTAAATTTCTAACAATTAGTTGTATTCAATTTATTGTTATCATATTCCTTCCACCCCAAGACCGTCTCTTGTACTAGTTCAACACCTGCTTACCTTCTTCTTCTCAAGTAGTTCCCTCCCAGTTTTCCTGTGAGTGTGTGTGAGTGCGTGTGTGAGTGTGTGAGTACATGTGTGTGAGTGTGTGAGTACATGTGTGTGAGTGTGTGAGTATGTGTGTGTGAGTGCATGTGTGTGAGTGTGTGAGTTCATGTGTGTGAGTGTGTGTGAGTGTGTGAGTGCATGTGTGTGAGAGTGTGCATGTATGTGAGTGTGTGAGTGCATGTGTGTGAGTGTGTGAGTATGTGTGTGAGTGTGTGAGTGCGTGTGTGTGAGTGCATGTGTGTGAGTTCGTGTGTGTGAGTGTGTGTGTGAGTGTGTGAGTGCATGTGTGTGAGTGTGTGAGTATGTGTGTGAGTGTGTGAGTGCATGTGTGTGAGTGTGTGAGTGTGTGAGTGTGTGTGTGAGTGCATGTGTGTGAGTGTGTGAGTGTGTGAGTGCCTGTGTGTGTGTGCGTGAGTGTGTGTGTGTGAGTTGTGTGGTGTGGGGCTCATGCAGGTGGCCACAGCTTTCATGTGGTCATGACTGCCATGGCCGTCTCACAGTTAGAATACAGCACTTTATAATATTCTTTCCTACTTTCAGACCCTCGCACTTCTCACCCTCTTCCTCAGTGTTCCTTGGGTTATGTAGATGCCCTTCTCAGGGCTGAATCCTTAACTGTCCCTCATTCTTTGTATTTTGACAGGTCAAGTCTTTGATCTGCCACTGCCAAAAGTCAAATTTTTGCATGCAACTTATAACACTTATCCTTCCTTAATTCTTGTATGACAAATATAAAAATCACTAATAAGGAGAGCCTGATTAATATTTAGTCCTGGTTATAAATTTAGAGATTTTTTTCAACTGACTTTATAATTTGGATTATTCTAAGTACTTTGATTAACAAGCCAAATTTCTGACTCCTGAAGTCTTATAAATCTAATAGATTATGCTAAACTATAAACACCAGGTGATTCTTATGATATTGTAAATGTTCAACTGTGCTGTATATAAATCTAATAAAAATTCAGCTTAAAAGAAGACCAAATCAGTTCCTAAATTACACACATTAATTTTAATCACAAAGTCGAACTGCTATCCCAATAAACCAATCTCTATTAAGTATAAAATTTCCTTTATAAATAATTTATTTTATAATGATAAATTAAAACTATCTAATTATTATAATTTTGGTAAGTGTACAAAAATTATATGTATATATACTAAAATGCTAACAATTGCTAATTTTGGATGGCAAGATTTGGTTTTACTCATTTTCTTATTCAAACCTCCCTTCATTTTCTATGCATGTGTCATTCCTCAGTCAGGGAGTAAGGTAGCTTTTGAAACTATTTTACCAGTACCTGTTTAGAGATCAGGTTCGTGTTTGGGTTTATGGAGTGGGCCTCAGATATTTGGGCTCATGTCCTCTTCTTGGGCCATCTGGAGCCTAGATCTTCCCATTCATAACAGCAAGCTGCCTCCTGTGGCAAGACATTATGAGTTAGTATGTGGACACTTGTTACGTCAGGCTCTGGAACTTTAAAATTTTTGTTATTATTTTTAACACAGGACATTTATGCGGGAGCTGCTTCTAACAATCTACACCTCCCAGGTTATCATGCAAATTCAAATTCAAATAGAGGAAAGATAGAGTAGAACATGTTGTCATGAGACCCGGAAGGCGGGTTCCCATGACTCTGTAGCCGACTGCCTGGCTGGCTGCATTAGTTTTGTTATACTGTATAAAGGAATACCTGACAAGTGCAAAACAAGGCCTTGCAGTCTGAGAGGACAAAGTCCATCGTGGTGGGGAAGGCAGGGTTAGTGTGAGGATGACTCCAGTGTGGCAGTAGTGGGTTGGGCACCCGCTCGCAGCCTGTGATGCTGTCTACGCTCAGGTTATGTCTCCCTCCTCCATTAAACTGTTCTAGAGACACCTCTGCCGGCACACACAGAGGTGCCAGAGTTACATTGTCATTGATTTCAGTCAAGTTGGCAGTGAAGGTTTTCCATCACAGTTGTTGACTGGCCAAAAGATGGATGAATAAATGCATGACTAAATAATGAATTAGTGACTATCCCCGAGCTTACAAGAAGAAAATGAAAGAGGAATAATAGTTTCATGACTGATAGATGGACAGACATAGACACAGCCTGGATAGATGAAGGAAAGACTGAATAGAATGATTGCTTGGGACAGGGTGTGGGTGAATAATTAATTGATTTGCTGAATAAATGATGCAAGAGAACATAGGATGCTAAAATGACTGACAGTGACTGACTGAACTATTGACCAAGGGACTAAGTGAAAGAATAAGTGAAAAAGAATAAATGACCAAAAGGATTGAATGACATACTCACTCTTTGTGTGAATTAATTGACTGGCTGAATGATGGCCACCTAAAACAACAAAATGTTTAAATCCTTACAATAAACAAGGGCCTGACTGAACGAATGAATTCTGTAGGTGAAGAGAGATCCTTCCTTGGCATGGCTTTGCCTTGGCGTTGTCATGCTGCGTCTTATCTCTACGTTAGTCAGCCCTGTATGGCCGTTCCTTTGGCATATCAGATACATTACTGGCATGGATGCCAATGCTGGAACTCATGACATGGCCTCCCTAGATTAATTTCATTTCATTTTATTCTGTGGGTGGTGCCTGACCTTGATTTTGTGTCTGTTCGTACCTTTTGCAGTGGTTAGTGTCACCAACTTGACAGGATCTGGAATCACCACAGGAGCACACCTCTGGAAGTGTCTGCGAGAGGTTTATTTAGATTAACTGAGCGGGGAAGACCCACTCTGCATGTGGATAGTGCCATTTCCTGAGCTTGGGTCTGAGATGGCATAAGAAAGAGAAATCTAGCTGAGGACCAGCACCCATGCCCCTCTGCTTCAGGAGGGAGGGCACAATGTTAGCAACCACCACAAGCATCTGTTGCCATGCTTCCCACACCATAATGGACTCTGCCTAGAGATCTGAACTGGTTCATCTTAGAATGTGGCCTGATGACCCAGGGATATCTGTTCTCAGCCTCTGGGGAGAAAATTTGTACTTGTATGTCCTTGCCTAGCTTCCGGGCATATGTCTGTTAAGACATTCCCATGTCTGCTTATTCTTTTATTTTTGGCTCACCTGGTTCTGTCCTTATTTCCCAGCCCACCTGAAGCAGATTGATCCTTGAGACAATTTCTGTTGACATCACGTCCTCCCTGGTGACCCATTGAGACCCGTAATCAGGAGCAGCAACTCCATTCCCCTCCCCTGCCAGTTTGAAGTTGCCTTCAGGGACAAGGAGAATTTCGCCACAGTAGACTCTGTGTCTTATTAAAGGACTTGTTAATTGGGCCACCGTACAGCCCTTCATCATTTTTCCCATCAGACAGCAGTTCTGTTGTCTGTTTAGATTTGCTCAGGGAACATTTCACAAGGGTGTTTATTCTTGCAGGGGAGCTCAGAGGTTAGCCCTGCGTTTCAGAGTGAAAACCTGCCAAAAATCCACCGCAAAGAAGCTGAAAATAGATGCAGTGTTGATTCATCAGCAGCCTCTCTGGGTGCTTTATTAGAGGTTGGCACAGAACTTGAACATCACCTGAGTATGCCAGGCTGGAGGGGAGGTTGCACCGACAGGACTATGGAGACAGCACCCGGCAGCTGTGAGAAGTCACACTGCCTAGTTCCAGCATGATAAACAGGAAAGTCTAATTGGGTGTCAGTCATCCTGTCAGGGTCGGCGGAGTGGCCTGATCCCAAAGAATGCTTGCACATGTGATCATGCACCCAGACCCTGCTGGTGGGGCAAATGGAGGCGATCCATGTCTACCCTCCCTTGCTTCTCACACTCACTGCAGACACAAGCTGCCGTGTTGTAATTCCACGGCTGTTTCATCCACTCTGCGCTCGGTCTGTGGCATAACTAGAACGTGATAAATATTTGTCGGTGAATTCAATAAATAAGTAAATGTCAAATCCAATCTGTCCCCGAGGGCCCATTTCAAATTCTCATAACCTCAGACTCTCCCCTGACACTGCTTTTAAAATGGGAACAAGGCCATCTCAAGATCCTTGGAGTTGAGTCACTTTGTTGTTACTGACTAGTTCTTTCACTAGTGGACTTTGTGTTTATTTTCTTGTTGCTGTGATCACCACCATCAGTGGTGAAGACTCCAAATGGTTGGTTGACCG